TCAGACTTCAATAGATTCTCCGAGATTTACTTGACGCTATTTATCAATTTAAATGATTCCTAACTTTATTTGGTGAAGTTGGATGATTAAAAAGCTTCCTGTTAGAAGCTACATCTTAAAAAAAACTATAAAGATACATAGACCACCAGATCTTCAATAGCTGATAAAACACGATTTATGAAACTCAACTGTTGTTCCAATATTTTACCATATATTCTGCTAAAGATCAAGGTCATTGAAATATAGTAGCTCTGCGGAGATGCCTTCTGGTCCTGCAGCTTTTCTATTCTTCATTGATTAATTAGAGACATAAACCTGGTGAGCATTTGAATAGAATAGAATTTATTCGTGCAATTAAAAATTTCTTTTACACCCATCAAGTCAAAAAAAAATTAATACATACGGTACCGATACACTACAATTAACATTCATTACAGCCGATACTACCATGTCTGACAAAATAGGTTATATATTAAAATCTTCCTCTGAGAGGTCGCGGTCCAGAAATTCCGAAGAGGAGTAAAAACCCGTTGTCAGCAAGAACCTCTTGACCGCCACCTTAAAAGCTCCCACCGAGAGCAGCGTTACCAATTTATTATAGAATTTAAGAGTAGCAAAATCGACACACTTTTGTGACTTAGAGAGTCTGCAAAAGTTTGGCATTAACTTGTGGCTATTTCGTGTATTATAGCCGTGCACATCACTATGCATAGAGAATCTTCCTACGTTTCTACGTACGTACAACAGGCACTCCAAAATATATAATGAGGGAAACGTTAAAATCTGATAACTGATAAATGAAGCACGGCAAGAATTTCTGTAACTCAGACCACAGACCACCCGCACAGCACGTCGCTGTAATCGGAAAACTCTGTGCCACCCAGTACAACCTCCCCACGTCAATAACGCCTAAGACATAAGTGACTGGCACAAGGCATGATACACAGCCTTCGACACATTATTACTTAGAATTCGCAACACAAAGATGTTGCTACTCAAACATCCACACAACCTATCTATGTGGTGTTCCCAGTTTAAGGTACACCCAGGACATCCACTACTTGTTTTCTGAGTCCGCACCAGCGTTTCGAAGCATGAAAACAGCTTCCATACTTTTGCTTTTATTTAAATTTAATTTGTTACAGACAAACCACTGTTTTGCGTATAATATTACCTATGCACTAGTGATAGCATTCGGCAAATCATTTAGGTAAATAAGAAAAACCACCGGTCCTAGTATCGATCCTTGAGGAACTCTTATAAGGTTTGTTCGAGCAGAGAATTAGGTATTAGTTTGTGACAGATTAGTGCATTCATGAATGCGCATGCGCACGTAACGATTAATTGCGAACTAGTACGATATTTGTCAAATAGGTTGCTTATAAAATATACTGTTCGCTGGATTACAATTTGTAGGGAACTTATACTAATATTAAATCTATCAGCTACATCTCGGAAAGAAGCCGTCTGATGACCAGCAAACCACAGAAATATTAATATATGTTTTTTTTCTGTTAATTTTCCATTTCCTCCGGCTTGATAATTATAATACTGGCTGACTTTAAATCGATTTGCTAGATCTTCAGCAACTACTCTACTCAAACGAAAATGTTCCATAAATTCTGAGTCGCTATACAGTTGTACTGTTATTTCGAAGTACTCTTCATTTTTTGGCCTTATTCGCACTGGTGTATCAAGTAATTCATCTTCTAGGTCATCATCACTTGACTCAAGATTTACTAAAGGCACATCTTCACTTGACGACGAAATATCGGACATGATTATTTATACTCTGATTTATACTAGGTACTTAAGAACGTGTTAACAACAATTACAGATTAATAAAGCGGATATTGTGTTTACAAATATAAATCGATTGTGTCGCCCTCTCGACGTGCTACGTTTATTACCAACGAACTCGCAAAGTATCCACTGCGCATGACAGTACACAATCCGTCAACAATTTTTCGAAAGTCAGCAAATTGTAAAAACTATACCCAACCAGTACCCAACTAATCCTAAATTCTAATCGAACACACGACTGGTAGTCGAAAAAGTCAGAATTCGGGATTTATTTACTGCTCGAACACCGTTACCATACTGCGCATGCGTCTCCCAATTTGCAGATTGGTTTTGCCGCTGCTCGAACAAACCTATAGAAATATACTAGAAACTACTTGCTTTCTATTAGTGAGATAAGATTCTATTAATCTAGCACTACTTTCATCAAAATTATATTTGTCCAATTTTTTTAACAAAAGACCATGGTTAACGCAATCGAAGGCCTTGCTGAGATCACAAAGGTTATGGATGTAAATTCCCCATGTTCGTAGCCATCCCCCACCTGACGGGACAAAATCCACAATTGCATCCCTAGTACTGAGATTCTGTCGAAAACCACACTGACTAGGTATGAATATGTTGTTTTTTTCAAAATGATTTATAATTCTATCCTTAATGACTCTTTCAAAAACTTTAGAACGATAGTTCTCTAGTTCTTGAGGATTACCTTTTTTAAAGACCGGAATGACCAATGCCAAGACATCAGGAAAAACATTCTCCCTCATGCATAGATTAATCAATCTTCTTAGCGGTGTTATCACATCTTTTATTAGCTTTATAATTTCAGCATTAAAACCATAAACATCCTTGGAAGGTTTATTCTTCAGGGAGCCAATAATATCTCGAACCTCATTACATTCAACAGGTTCCATACTGAAACGATGTTTAATGACTGGTATATTCGACAGCAGATCATCAAAATTAGTTGTTTGATTACGAATTGAAATTTCGCCAACGAGGTCTAAGAGGATGTCTACAAAATATTCATATCATTTGGGTTAAACGAAGCCTTGATACTAGTTTTTTTATTAATCATGCTGAGAAAATACGTCAATATAGCAACACCGTAGACGGGGAAACTACATGTTGTATAGAGACTAGAAATGTTAATCTGTGGCAAATGCATTGGAGTGGCAAGGAACACATTGAACCTCAAAATAATATGGTCGCAATCATAGTACACAAAATATTAAACAATCATGTAAAATCATACGACAGAATACTTAAACTAACTCTATTCCAAGAACTTGCATGTCGTCCAAGTCTACAGGGTGTTACAAAAGTCTGGTAGCAGACATGAAATTTGGCATAAATTTTATTCAACCATTACCAAACAACAATGTGTAATCAAGGTTCGAAGTATCCATCCTTCGCCTTCACACAGCCTCGCAAACGCTTGGGGAAGCAACAACCTTGTCCCACAGCTCCTCCCATGCCTTCTGAAAGGCGTGCATGAGACTGTTGAAATACCTGTGAAGACTAGCACAGGAATCACACCGAAAAGTCGATGAGGTTCCAATCGACTAGGCCAGTAAAATAGGTCCGGCACCATTGTTGAACCATCATAACCTTGTGCACGGACACTGAGTCCTGTTGGAACATCCAGGGGCATTCGTTCTAACGACTCTTGGAATTGTGGCGCACCATGTTCCGGACATGCTTGACCATGCTGGGAGTTTTTGATCTTCTACTTATCAACGATTCTTGATGCTACTGGTGAAACGATCAACCTTGTATGCAACAACGACTTCTCATCATGACCAACGATTTGGAAACACAAATGATAGAGGTGTGCGCTTATTTCAGTTTGTAATAGGAAATAGACTAGTAACAGCTACTACACTTTTCAAGCACCACCCCCGATGGTTATCAATATGGACAAGCCTAGATGATAAATACAAAAATCAAATTGACCCGATTATGTCGAAAAAATTGTAATTTTTTATTTTACGTCATAGCTTTATAATTCACACTTCTTTTCTGGGTAGGACGAATACAGCTATTTTGTTATTTTAATTCATTCAACATTTGGGTTAATTTATCTATAACATATGGCTAAAGATACAAAAAATAATCATAACGGTTATTGGAACAACTTTTTTATATTTTAATGACATATCTTTCTTTGTGGGCGAAATGCAAAAATGAACAATTTTTTTATCAATATCATTTGAAAATTCCACAAATTACCATTTTACCTCATAGTTTTATAAATGATCCTTTTTTTTTATTGGAATGGGTTTACATTATCTATATTTTTTTGTGTAGGAGGAATACAAATATTTGTTATTTGTTTGTTCAACATTCGTATTAGTTTATCTATAATTTAAGGCTAAAAATACAAAAATTAATCATAACGGTTATTAAAACAACTTTTTTGTATTTTAATTACGCTAATATCTCTCTTTATAGGAAAAATGCAAAAATTAACAATATTTTTATCAATATCATTTGAAAATTCAATAAATCCCCGGTGTTATTAACATATTATTCCAATCTCATAACTTTTCTACACATTTTTAAAGTCTAATGCCAAATAACGTATATTTTACATCACATTCAAATTCCAATGTTATTTTAATTAATTAATTCTCCTTAAATCTCAATTTTTTTATTTCTATGATTAAAATCTTAATTATTACGATTTGATCTTGTGGAATGATTAAAAGAAAATGAAAAACGAATTACACGAGTGCAAGACGGTGTGACTTTTTCCCCACTATAATTTTTATCGTCCGTGGGGCCACAGAGTTAAGAATGTCTTCCTTGAATATTTTTACCACGGGATTCCGCCTCTCTGTCGGCAAACACCTCTTTAGTCGCGCGCCTCTAAGTCCGCCAAGAAAACGAAACTTACCTGATCGGGTAGTGAAGTGAACCATTTTTTAATCAAGTGCAAGTGAAGTTTTCTTTTTGTTTCAATATTAATTTGACCGTGTATGGCGCAACATCCAATAAACTCAACTCACCTCAACTGGTGAGTTTCCACTTTCCATTTTTCGCATAATTTTCCACCATAAACTAAATAGAACGAAATAAAAATTCGCAAACGAAAGCTAAATTATAGTCGAAGAAATCGAATACCATTTGGGATTAAAATTAACTTTCGATTATATAGTTTAAATAATTTATTGATTCTTTTTTCTTTTTGATTTTAGATTTCTTAATGACTACTTTATTAATGATCACATCCGGGTAAGTTTTTTTTTTATATTTTTCTTTTGCATTTATCTACACAACTCACACTTTTAGATTAATATTTTCAAAATATATTTCAATTGAATTCTTTAACGACAATTAGCAGCTTTTCACTTAATTAATAATTAAAAGGAACGTTGAAATGTCGTGTGAAACGTGTATTGTAATTTTTTTGATAATTTATTAAGCAACTTAATTTAATATTAGAGCCAAAACTGTCCGGGTTGTCTTAAAAAACGAATTACGACATGTCGTTAAACTTCCTGATGAGGACGTCGAGGTAGAAAAACGTTGCAATTTTAACACGGTAATAAATTGTTGTGTGGGTAACAATTTTGGCGAAGAGATGGCAATAAAGATTTTTTTCAGTATTTCGGCAATTACCAAGAGGGAAAAAAACGGGTTTTTAAGGTGATATCATTACAGATGTAATCTGAATGGGCAAGTTGCATTTTCTTGGGAGTCTGATGTACAATCTTAACAACGTTATATGTCGGTGCAACAAAGAAAGTTGCCGCAGATCTCGTGTGTTAGAAACACCTCTTCAAAAGTAAATAAAACATCATAAGTCAACAGGTAACTGTGTTTCCACGTGCGGTACGTGAAAAACGATTAGGTGTAAAATTGCATAAGACATTTACGAGTGTAGGTATACTGACGTTTACGACACATAAAGTGGTACTACTTCATGATTATTTGTTTTTGTATACCTTACTTAAAAATCGACCGAAAACTTTGGCTTTATTAATTAGATTGCGCGACAAGAAAAAATTAATGAAATACAAACAGCAATTTATAATTTTAATTTTCGTTTTCAAATCAAATAACTAATGGCATAAGTAGAAAATAAGAAGTATTAACGAACCGAAAAGGAAAAATTAACTGTCGAGATATTAAATAAATCAACTTTGAGTTGTCATAACACCGATACGGGAGTAAATGAGTTAGAAAAAAGTCTTCGCAAATGAGATAATCAGTGATTTATAGAGTTGGTTAGGCAACGCTCCGGTCTATCTTCACTAAAAAGCATTACTTCTTAACGGTTCTTGTAATTAATAATAATCAACAGCTGCGTTATGTAAATTTTCATGCTCTAATCTTTGAAAATATGGAAATATTCAAATCCTTCTTTATGGGGGTTATAACAAATAAGAATTTTGTAATGATTCAAAGATATTCCTTGAACTTAATTTGTGACTTTATGAATACATCTTCAGATGTATGTAATAAAAGAATTGAAGTTAAGAAAGGATCTTGATTGTCAAAATTATAAATGTTCTTCTTTTTTGTTGTGTTAACATAAGACGAGACGTGCGAGCAGTGTTCAGGTTTCGCGATTGCGTGGCCTTATTTGTCTGCCGAAAAGATGTTTGGTACGACCGAGAGGAAACCAAAAAAAATGTAATAATACTAAAATGGACTACATAAACTTCTAGAAAATGCTTGGTACTGAAACAGTTTTAGAAACATTTGATGGGCACTATCGAATAAAAACTGTCGAATAATTCGATAGTTAGTAAGTATTCGAATAATTCGATTGTTGTTACCAACTATTCGAATATTCGATTAGTTATGAACACTATAGAATAATTCGATTGTTGTCAAGTATTCGAATACATCGATGTTATAGAATTTATTCGAATGTTTGAATAACTATCATAATATTCGTTGATTTCTGAAACAGATTATCAAGCAAACGAATAAATAAAATGAAAATATAATTATTTTCATTTTAGTCGAATGCAAGTTATTCATTCAGCTGTTCTAGAAGAATCGCTGATCATACAATGAACAGTCGTCTGATAGTTGACTGAGACTCAAAGTAATGAGTTGAATCAAGTGAGGGAAACTATGGACAGTATGGACATAATAAGGATTTTGGCGTGCATTATAATTCAGTAATAATTAATTTTATAAATAGTACACGTTAAATAATTTATTTATAAAACAAATACACTATTCTAGTAAAAATGTATGACAAAAATGACAAATATATTAATTAAACAAATTTATATTACTATTTAAAAAAATAATCATGTCGAGGTTTTTCCCAGAGAGTCTGTTTCGGCGTTCATTTATAATTTGTCCAGCTTTGGAAAATACTCGTTCTGAAGGAACTGAGGTAGCTGGAATGCATGAATATCTTTTATGCAGTTGATATATTTCAGGAAGTACACTTTTGTAGCGCTTCCAAAATTCAATCGGATTTTGAGTTCGTGCTACAAGCGAGATCTCTAAATATTGTGTAACCATCAATGCTGCAGTCGTGCATGGTGTTGAAATACTTTTTAAAGTGACAATTTCTTGATCAAAGTGTGACCAAATGTTTTCTTTATCATCAGTATTGTCAGTTGTAGTTTCTATGGTCTGTTTTTCAATTGTCTCACCTTTATTTTGTAAAATAGAGGATATTTCTTCAATAATTAATTTTTGAACTATGTCACCATTTTCTGCAACACTAAAAGCTGCTTTTTTAAATCTAGGATCTAAAAACGTTGCTTTTGAGCAAAGTAAATTTGTTTCT